AATTTAATTTGTAGCAGTTTGTTAATAACACTCCAGGGCGTTGAGCTATGAGGAAACTATCCATCAAACTTATCAAGAGAAGGTCGTATATATGATGGCCTATACGCCTTCCTCAAGGAAAGCAGGTCTTCCAGATAATTACATGAATTAATTTTACAAAAAGAAAGAGAAGAAGAAAAAATGGACGCGCAGCATAGAAAACGGAAAACAATAAGGGTAACAAAAGCATATTCGCCATTCTGCCTAGAAATCAAAACGTGTTTTTTTGTTTTGTTTTTTAAAGGACGCAGCTGTAAAAGAATCGGGATGTATCGCTCCTACAAGACGCTACTGAAGCGGATGAGGCTGATGACGCAGACGGCGGCGTAGAGCAGGAGGGCCAAGCGGTCGACGACGGCGGCGAGGAGGAGCCACTCGCAGGCGTCGCCGCTCTCCCGACGGCGGATCTCAGAGCTCCCGTCCTCGCCCAGCTCCAGCTCGTCGGGCTTGCGTCGAGAGCTGCCGAGGCTGTGGCTCGACTTGGAGGCCTGGTAGGCGACAAAGAATCAGGACAAAAAAAGAAAAAAAAAGAAAAAACAAAGACAAAGAGAAGAAAAAAAGAGAGAGGAGGGTAAGATCACGCGGGAAAAAAAAAATGTGAATGAAGGTTTTTCCGGTGAGAGTGAAATGTGGTCATGAGGAAGAAGAGCAAGGCTGTTTTTTATTTATTATTGTTTTTTATCGTCATTATTATTCTTTTGCGTGTTTGTAGACCTAGGTTTGTCTGTGTGCCTTTACATCTGTGCATATCCATTCAAGTCCATTTGTCCTTGTGTCCGCGCTAATGTACGTGTCCTATCATTAACGAAAGTTGCCGCTCACCCAGTGTCACAGAATATAATTGACCTATAAGAAAAAACTGGTTCCCTCGCCCGTAGTTAAACCCATCTCTGGTCACTAGGGCACCCGGTAATCTCCGTCTTGAAAGGCCCTTTGGCACTTGAGACGGAAACGAAAAGGTGACTCGCATTACCTGTTGATTGCTATCTGTTGATTGTTACCTTTTATTGTTGTTGACTACATTTCAGGTAGATGGATATTTCGAAGATATCATTAGTTCATTGTGTGTGTGTGTGTGTGTGTGTGTGTGTGTGTGTGTGTGTGTGTGTGTGTGTGTGTGTGTGTGTGTGTGTGTGTGTGTGTGTGTGTGTAAGTGTGGGTGACTTTTTTGAAAATTATAGTGTGTTTTTTTACGTGTGTCGAGTCCTTGGATAACTTCCTCTACCGCACTCATGCTGTAGGAAGTAAGAGAAAGGAAGTTCGAGCTAATGGTTCATTAGAAATGAAGCAATTACTAGGTTTTTCATTGTTTCGTTGAGCTGCTTGTCTGTTTTAGCTCTATGGAAACTGTAAGTCCATACTAGTACACAGTATTCACGGTAATAAAGCTATTGTAGGTGTTTGGTAGACACCCTTACTTCCTTCTTCTTCTTCTCTTCTCTCTCTCTCTCTCTCTCTCTCTCTCTCTCTCTCTCTCTCTCTCTCTCTCTCTCTCTCTCTCTCTCTCTCTCTCTCTCTCTGTCTCTCTCTCTGTCTCTCTCTCTCTCTCTCTCTCTCCTCTCCTCTCTCTCTCTCCTCTCTCTCTCTCTCTCTCTCTCTCTCTCTCTCTCTCTCTCTCTCTCTCTCTCTCTCTCTCTCTCTCCTCTCTCTCTCTCTCTCTCTCTCTCTCTCTCTCTCTCTCTCTCTCTCTCTCTCTCTCTCTCTCTCTCTCTCTCTCTCTCTCTCTCTCTCTC